CCCTACCGCCAAGAGGAAGATTTGCCTCTAAATTATCATCATGGCACTCAGGCAATGCTACAGCCTAGAAATCAGGAAGGATTTGACATAAAACTCCCACCGGCGATAGTAGAAGCAGCAATAGACCTTCAGTAGCTTTCTAATGCCAGCAGTCGCTGTTGAGTACTGAATTCGTCTAACTGAGCTATACATGGTATGGTGAGAGAGTTAAACGACTCCATGGCTTTGAACTTTTGGACACCCTAATAAATAAACAGGATGCCCAACCCGCTGAGATTGTTCATTAACGAACACAAACTACTAGTGTTGATTTTCTTCTATATCATGGCTCTAAACTTCTTACTTGTAATCCGTTCATCCACATCTTCCATCGGCTAATTTCCACCAGCATTGAAATACTGAACCTGGATCTTGATACCAGTTGCCAACTTTTGATTATTACCTCCTCTTTGTCTCTGTTTACTTACCTTACCAATCAGGCTAAGGCCTTGTTGTCCTCTGCTGTCCGAAGAAGTCGTCTCCACTCTACGCGATCCATGGCAACAGTTCGCCAGCCTCGTAGTCTGCGAAGGGTCCGCAGGTCACCTTCTACTTGGTCGATCCACCTTGCCCGCTGCACGCCTCTTCTTCTTGTTCCTGTTGGGTCGCTTCCTAGAACCATTTTCACTGGGTCGTCGTGCGGCAATCTTACGACGTGCCCAGCCCACCGTAGTCGCCCAATTTTTGCAATGTGGACGATGGATGGTTCTCCCAGCAGCTGGTGCAATTCGTGGTTCATTCGCCTCCTCCACGTTCCGTCATCCATCTGCACTCCACCGTAGATGGTACGCAACACCTTCCGTTCGAAAACACCAAGGGCGCGTTGGTCCTCCACGAGCATAGTCCAGGTCTCGTGGCCGTAAAGGACCACCGGTCTAATCAGCGTCTTGTAGACAGTCAACTTCGTGCGGCGGCGAATTTTATTCGACCGGAGCGTCCTCCGGAGTCCAAAGTAGGCACGATTCCCTGCCACAATGCGTCTTTGAATTTCTCTGCTGGTATCATTTTCGGCGGTCATCAGTGAGCCCAAATACACGAACTCATCGACCACCTCGATTTCGTCACCGTCAATCTGAACTCGGGGTGGGAGGCTAACATTGTCTTCCCTAGAACCTCTTGCTTTCATGTATTTTGTCTTTGATGCGTTGATGGCAAGTCAAATCCGTCTAGCTTCAGCCTTCAGTTTGATGTACGTTTCCGCCATCATCTCAAAGTTCCGTGCCATAATGTCAATGTCATCGGCGAAACCAAGGAGCTGGATGGACTTCCTGAATATCGTGCCACTCGTGTCTATCCCAGCTCTTCTGATCACACCTTCTAACGCGATGTTGAACAGCAGACACTAAAGTCCATCACCCTGCCGTAACCCTCTTCGAGATTCAAAGGGACTCGAGAGTGTCCCCGATACTCGAACAACGCACATCACTCGATCCATCGACGCCTTGACCAATCGCGTCAGTTTATCCGGAAATCCGTACTCGTGCATAATCTGCCATAGCTGATCTCGATCGATTGTGTCGTATGCGGATTTGAAATCGATGAACAAATGATGTGTGGGCACGTTGTATTCGCGGCATTTCTGCAGAACCTGCCGAATCGCGAAAATTTGGTCCGTGGTAGCGCGGGCACCCATGAATCCCGCCTGGTATTGCCTCACGAACTCTCTTGCATATGGTGACAGACGGCGGCATAGAATTTGGGAGAGTACCTTGTAGGCGGCGCTCAGCAGTGTGATCGCGCGGTAGTTGCAGCAATCCAACTTGTCGCCCTTTTTGTAGATTGGGCATACGACACCTTCCATCCACTCCTCCGGTAATATCTCCTCCTCCCAAATCTTGGCAACTACCCAGTGCAGCGCTCTAGCCAGTGCTTCACCACCGTATTTCAATAGCTCACTTGGTAGTTGATCTACACCAGTTGCTTTGTTGTTCTTCAGCCGACCGATCTCCTCCTCAACTTCTTGAAGATCAGGGGCCGGTAGCCTGTCGTCTTCTGCGCGTGCTCCAAGGTCTGTTGCCGTGCCACCTTCGTTTTCTGCTGCTTCACCGTTGAGGTGCTCGTCATAGTACTGCTTCCACCTCTCAATCACCTCACACTCGTTCGTGAGAAGGCTACCGTTCAAGTCCTTGCACATATCGGCTTGCGGCACGTAGCCTTTGCGCGAACTATTTAGCTTCTCGTAGAATTTCCGTGTGTCGTTTACGCGGTACAGATTAACAGATTGTCTCTGTTTGTTGTTTCTTAATATTTTTCATCCTTGGTTGGTTTTGCCGGAATTGGATTTGTTATCCCTGAAACTGCTGGTGGCTTCGATTGCGTTGATTAATACCGCGATTCAGATTGGCTTCATTACCTCCGGTGTGGTTACCTTAACGAGTTTAACTATCCAAACAGCACGATAGTGACCAGCAGCAATAATGATGCAGCTCATTCAGGACACAACTTTCTATCCGTCTACTACCAGAACGTCAGAGGTCTGCGCACTAAAACGACAGAATTGAAGTTAAGGCTATCGAGCTGCGACTACGATATAATTGTTTTTACCGAAACATGGCTTCGGTCTGATATAAGCGATACGGAACTCACTTCCGACTACTCTATATTTCGGTGTGATCGAAGTGAAACTACTAGTAATTCTTCGAGGGGTGGTGGAGTTTTCGTAGCTGTTAAAAATAATTTGCACTGTACTGCGGTTTCTTTGGACGATTGTAGACAGCTTGAACAAATTGTTGTGCGAGTAACACTTCCTCACCATTCGCTGTTGATCATTGGCATCTATCTTCCCCCGAATTCCGACGCAAGTTTATATTCGGCTCACGCTACGGCTGTCCAGAACTTATCGGATCGTTTGTCGGACAATGACATTATTCTACTCTTCGGGGACTACAATCTTCCTCATCTGCAATGGTGCTTCGATGAGGACGTTAATGGGTTTATACCTTCGAACGCTTCCAGTGAACAAGAACTCAATCCCACCGAATCCATCTCTGCGTGCGGGCTGGTTCAAGTGAATTCTTATACGAACCCGAACGGTAGACTACTAGATCTAGCATTCACGAATTCTCCAGATGTCATTGAAGAACTGCGGCCACCACTTCCACTCTTATCCACCGACGCCTATCACCCACCGTTTATTTTACTAGTGGATGTGCACAGCGTCATCATAAACCACCAAATCGACGCGGATTCGGATGCAATTGACCCAGATTTCAGGCAATGCAACTTTGATTCACTCGTTTTCGTCGATCGACTGGCAGCTTCTTCTACATGAACACACTGTTGATGCAAACGTTATCTGTATGAGATTATTCACTCAATTGTTCTTCGTCGCCGTCGTATTTCAAGTTGCGTCAACAGGAAGCCTTGGTGGACGGCTGAATTGCGAAATCAGCGTAATAGACTGAGGAAAGCATGCAAACGATATTTCGCTGATAAATCGAACGAGAACAGAGATTTCCTTCATCTAATTGAATCATCCTATAATGAACTTCTCTCTTCAAGCTACCAAGTATACATGCGCAAACTTGAATCCAACCTAAAACAAAATCCGTCGATGTTCTGGAGGTATGTTAAAAAGCAAAAGGCTAGCAATCGTGTACCGAATAACGCTATCTACGGTGATTCCATGGCCAGCACACCTAAAGATGATGCCAACCGAGGGTCACTACCACAGTAGGAGATAAGGGACGAGAAAATTTATGTAAATAGTTCAGTTACAAAATACACGTTGAAGGAAACAGTACCTACGTCGTCTGTTTCTCTGGTCGGTCGATGACAAAATTTTCTTGTGGTCAGTGATTCGGCTTGGGCAGAATTCGTCTCGGTGCTAGTGATCTACTAGCGAAGAAAGTCCTTCTAGTGCGGCAAAATGTCTATCGTCAACAAACAGATAACAGTAGACGAAGCGGAAAACAGAAAAGGTGCGGGCCAATTGTTGCCAAGAGGGGGGGGGGAAGGTGGCTGTCAAATATGTACAATAACGCTGTCCACGACACAGTTGCGATCAGCTGACTTTTTTGTTTACCAAGAACTTTTGACACATCTCAGTAGAACTGGCAGTTTATTCTCATATGCATTTCTGCTTTGTTTATGTTTACATTCAGCACCATCAACACCAGATCACTCACACACTCTAGATTTCTAGCTGTCAGTTACACTGAGAAACGTCTCTTGGATCACTTTATCGTCGCCTACCTCGCATAAGTGGTTCCAAACGTAATCAAGCCATAAGAAACCTACAGGGTTTGTTTACGCGTTTGGAACCAATTTCATACAAGAATGATCAGCAGGATGATTTGACAGCACGCCCCCTCAACTTCCACGAAGCTCCATAAACTTCTTCCAAGTTCCATAATTATGTGTTTTAAAAGTTCTCTCAATTCAACCAACCAAATCATCACAGAACATTTATGACCTTCTCCAAACTTCAGGAAAAACCCTGAACCTTTTCTACGAGTTTTCTTAAGCATCTCAAAGTCCCAAAACTGACTTCCCAAACCAAACTGTGAAGGTCTAAGAAGTTTACTGAAGTTATTCAATACACCCTTAGCTTCTACGAAGCTTGTCGAGCTTCTACAAGTTTGAAAATGATCTTCTCTAAACTTAAAAAAGGGAGATTATGTTGTGATATATTTTTCGCTTTTACGCTACCGACATACCGAGTTCACCACCTAATAAAAAATCCTTAGGATTGGAGATAGAAAAATATTCAAACGAATTTCAAACCTTGCAGAGCATAGCACTGGGCAACATTTTTTTTTAAACCGTGGCATGGCCGTGGAAATGCTTGACTTGCGCCGAAGATCATGAGTTCCATGAAAAATTTAGGAGTTATCAAAATCTTGTAAATCCCTTTTTTGCAATAGTAGACCGCTGCTAAAAGCTCACTTCAATATGTTTGATAATTCACATGAACCCGTTTAAGTCTTATCAAAACTACAGTCAATATTCATTCTTTACAGAGCGTTCCAGTCTTCGCCTTCCGGTTCATCCCAGCTCTGTGTGGCAGCCTGCTAGCTCCTGCCGTCTATAGTATCCTGCGACAATTGAAACTCAGTCAATCCATCTGCATCATCGGTGGACTCCTGATCGTTTTCGGTAATCAACTCATAATCATTTTCACAATACACACTCAATAACGATCTCCTTTTCAGATAACGCCCTCCTCACCCACTCCCGTTTCATCTTGATGGAACCGATGCTCCTGCTGTTCTCCACCGTTGGCATCCTGTTCGTGCTCAAGTTTCTCGAAGCTAAACCGTTTTCCGCCCACTGGTGGTCCTTTGGCACCGTTGCAGCTGCCTCCCTAACCGCAGGTGTCTGCGTCAAATATGTCGGCTGCTTAAGCTATTTCCTCGCATGCTACATCATCGGTCGGCACGTTTGGATGCAATTTCCGGACCGAACTCAATCCAACATCTACCTGTTGACCAAGAGCACCGTAAAAGCTGCGCTATTTGTGACCGTATCCCTTGCTCTGTACCTGGGGTGTTTCTACGTCCATCTGAACAGCTTGTACAAAGCAGGTCCCCATGATAGTGTAATGACCAGCGCCTTCCAAGCTTCGCTGGAAGGCGGCTTGGCGTCGATTACCAAAGGCCAACCGCTACGGATCCAGCACGGATCGCAAATAACGCTGAAGCATACGCACGGTCGAGTCTGCTGGATGCACTCGCATGCCCACGTCTACCCGATCAAGTACAAGGACGGCCGAGGATCAAGCCATCAACAGCAGGTCACCTGCTATGGGTTCAAGGACGTGAACAACTGGTGGATTGTGAAACGTCCGGACAAGGAGAACATTGTGGTGGGCGACGAACCGGATTACATACAAGACGGAGACGTGATCCAGTTGGTGCATGGAGTCACGAGCCGGGCGTTGAACTCGCATGACGTGGCCTCAGCAGTGACTCCGCTCAGTCAGGAAGTTTCCTGCTACATCGACTACAACATTTCCATGCCGGCCAATCTGCTGTGGAAGGTGGAGATCATCAACGCCAAAGATTCGAAGAATAAGTGGAACGCGATTACGTCACAGGTGAGATTGATTCACGTAGTCACGAATGCGGCCTTGAAGTTCACCGGAGAACAGCTCCCGGATTGGGGGTTCAATCAGTTTGAAATGGCTGCCGACCGGAGGCAGTTTACCATCGATACGATTTGGAATGTTGAGGAACATCGTTACACGCAGGACAATGAGAGGAAGGACGTGCTGGAAAAACTGCTCAAGACGGAAATGATTCCTCTGGAACCGACCACGCTATCATTCTGGGATAAGTTCAGTGAACTGCAGATGAAGATGTTGCTACACGCAGAGAAGATGGAAGGTCACATGTATTCGTCGGAGCCATTCGATTGGCCCCTGATGGACAAGGGGATCGCCTATTGGGTGGATAGCACGTCAAATGCGCAGATTCATTTGCTTGGAAACCTGGTCATCTGGTACACGGCAACGCTTGCGATCGTGGCTTACGTTGGACTGCTGGTGTTCTACCTGATCAGACGAAGAAGGAAGATCTTCGATTTGAGCGAAGAAGAATGGCAAAAGTTCCGATTCGGAGGGGAAATCTTCCTTGCCGGATACTTCATCCACTACCTACCGTACTTTTTCGTCGAACGGACCCTGTTCCTGTACAATTACCTCCCAGCGCTGTTGTACAAAATTCTACTGCTGTGCTTCGTGCTGGAACATATCCAGCTGGTGATCAAGAAGTTCGTCAAAGTCCGGCTGGTGTCGATGATCTACAGCACGATGCTGTGGGGCTGGGTGGCCGGCGTGATCTACTTCTACTCAAAGTTCAGCGTACTCTGCTACGGAACGACCGAACTCAGTGCCGATGACGTTCTGAAACTGCGGCTGAAGGACACCTGGGACTTGATTGTCCATAAGCCTTAAGTGAGATTTGCTTTTAAGTTTTAAGATTTTAAACACAATACTCGATTAATGTCCAGTAATAGCAGTAGGTTAACGATTCGAAATTGTTGAAGGAGTCAATAAAAAAATACTCACTCGATGGAAACTGGTTTTACTGCGAAAGAACTTCGCAAACATTCTGCAAACATTTAGCAAGGGGTGAGCTTAGAAGCAAGATAAAGCGGTGCAAGTTTCCACGCTCAAAAAGTCCAGACGTCTGCACAATTGCATTTATTTTAACTGTATTTCACCATGGTTCAATGTGGTTCTACATGTTGATAATATTTCTCTATCAATTCAAGTGTATTGCACATTGAATCACACTACTATTCAAAACAGATGGATTCGAAGTGATTTGTAAGAGCAACCAAAGGATGCCGCAAGGAGGCGTGTTATCACCTCTATTGTGGTCTTTGATGATCTTCTCAAAAATTTAATAGCCCAAGGCTTAGAAATAATTGGCTTCGCAGATGATATAGTCATAATTGTACGTGGCAAATATGATTGTATTATCGCTAACAGAATGCAAATTGCTCTAAATTTTGTTTCATCGTGGTGTGATAGGGAAGGATCATTGGACAACATAAGATTGAAAGGCACACTTTTGGAACTTTCTAATGCTGTCAAATATCTTGGAGTAATCCTCGATAGTAAACTTAATTGGAATAAGCATCTAGAGCAAGCAATAAACAAAGCTACTAATGCTCTATGGATATGCAAAAGAGCATTCGGTAAACAGTGGCGACTGAAACCGAAAATGATCCATTGGATTTACACGGCAATTGTGAAACCCAGGGTTACTTATGGTGCATTGGTCTGGTGGCCAAAAACAAAAGAGAGTGTTGTTCAGAGAAAGTTAGAAAAACTCCAAAGGTTAGCAACTTTCTAAATAACAGGTGCAATGAGAAGTAAACCATCGAAGGCATTGGATGCTTTGCTTTATATGCTACCATTGCATCAATTTGTCCAATAAGAAGCCGAAAAGTGTGCTCTAAGGAGTACAAGGTCAGTGAAACTCTTTGAAGGAGACCTTAGAGGACATCTTAGGATTCTAAAAACTGTTAGTATCAACTCTCAAGTAAGGAACAACGAAGACTGGATGGAGAAAAGATACAATTTCAATCAACTTTTTCAAGTAGTTGACCCTGGGCGTAATTCATGGCAATTTGGTGGCCCGGTTGTTCGTCCAGGATCGTTTTTTTTTTTATACAGATGGTTCAAGATTGAACAATCAAGTGGGAGCAGGAGTAACTGGCCCAGGGATAGAAATATCGGTTCCTATGGACAGATGGCCAACTGTGTTCCAAGCTGAAATTTTAGAGTGTTCCATTATATGTTTGCGTAGAAACTATAAGAGTTCATATATATGCGTCATGTCCGACAGTCAAGCTGCTCTAAATGCATAAAAGTCGGCGACATGTACATCAAAACTTGTCTGGGAGTGTGTTCAATCACTTCAAAAATTGTCTTGTCATTGCGGGATTGAGGGAAATGAAAGAGCTGATGCACTAGCAAGACTCGGATCTTCTCATAAGTTCATCGGGCCAGAGCCCTTTTGTGGCTTATCGGCTGCATCTCTTAGAATGGAGCTAAAAGCGTGGGAAGTGGAGGAAAACTGGAAGAACACTTCTATTGCTAGGCAGTCGAAGCGATTCATTAATCCAAACATTTCTGTGACCCACAAAATCCTGGAACTTTCTAAGAAAGATCTTTGTATATATGCAGGTCTTATAACAGGTCATTCTCCGAGCCGTTATCACTTGAAGCAGATTGGAAAACTTCAAGATGATGTATGTCACTTCTGTGGCATAGAAAAGGAAGACTCGGAACATTTGCTATGCCACTGTCCGGCAATTTTCAATAAAAGGCGTAATTTCTTCGACAAGGGGCTGATAGAACCCTTTGACATTTGGAGAACAACTCCCAGTACGGCAGTGCACTTTATTCGAAGTATAATGACGTGCTGGGATAATGCTATTAGCGAAGACAACAAATCAAGAAGACTGGCAACTCTTCCATTTTCTCATAAGAACGCTATGAGACAGGTACAATTGCGTCATCTGCCGCTCAAAGGTAAATGCTTCGAACGAATTTGATAGCAAAGATTACATCCTCAGAAGAAGGGTTTGTGTATTTGCTCATTTTTTATGCGTCGCTTCCACCTTCACTCAAGCGCAGCGCTATTGTATCTGTCGCTTGGATTCTGGCAAAGTTGCCAGTCTTCTTTATATGATGTCTTTGCTATTAGTCAAACGATGGTGATCACTCCTAATAATAGTGATACGGCATCTTTATATAGCTAAAGAAAAAAAAATGGGGAATAGGGTTTTTGATCTAATTTCCGTCGTACTAAGCACAACCCACACTTAAGGCCCAAGCGCAATGTGAGCGGAAGCGGAACGGAAACGGAAAGTTTGACAGTTGTCACAAATGGCAGCAAGATGCCTAACTGAAGTCGATTTGATTCTAACTAGTTTTCAATCCGACAAGTAGGCTTACTCAGATCGGGCTTTTCCGCTGCCGCTGCCGTTCCGCTTCCGCTGTCATTGCGCTTGGGCCTTTAATCTCTCTTTTCTGAACGAATTTAAACAAAAAGGGGAATATTACCGTTGTATTTGATAAAGAGTCACACATTATTGAGATATTGCCTCAAATCTAATACTGCTTCTTGATTCTAAATTCGTCCTACGAGTTTCAATTCCGTCCAAACGCACTGAAACGCCATTAGATTTTCTTCGTCCTACGGAGAAACGTAGACAAAAGGGATTCGTTAGGAGCGCTTCTTTTGTTTTGAGAACAATGAGCGTAAATATTCATACAATGCGCTCTAAAAGGATTTCTGTTGTAGCTAATGCACTAACGCATCGGAACAAACCTATTATTTATTTGTGCATGGTGAGATCATTGACATTATTGATCTTTTCTGATCGATAGAACGGAAATGGGCGATTACGACGAAGTAGCGCTCTACCCTATATCACAATATATCAGAAAAATGGTCGCAGTGATGAAAATACCCGACAAGGAAAAAAAAGTGATTTGCATTTCAATGCTATGTGAATTGCTTGTTCTGCAAGGTAAACACCGAAAACATGAATTATGACTTCATCCTTATCAACCAGCCTCATATATAAGAACAACCGTGGTTCAGTGAGACCGAATGAAGGCAACGGCAGCAGCACATCCCAACAGTGTAAGCTGTGCCTTCTGGCAGCTTTGCTTATATATCTGTCGATTAAATTCTGGAGTCGGCAAAGTAGAAGTCGATTAGAATATTGTAGAACATTGAACTATGGTGTGCAAAGCTATTGATATCACCATGTGAGGCACATAGACTCCAAGTGTGTCCCAATTCGAACCAATATTGAACAACGCGAGGAGAAGTCGGAAGAAATTTCCGGGCAATGTTTGAACTAGCTTCTGAAGGAAGCCGATAAAACTTCCAGAGAAAGAATAAAATAGCTCTTCTGGAGGAAGTTTGACGAAAGTTCTAGGAGATGTTGGAAAAACTTCTCAGGAACTTCCAAGAAAAATATTGGTGTCATGAAGCTTTCGAAAAAAAAATTCTGATGACACATCCAGAGGAAGCCAGGCAAGATTCGGAAATCTGAAACAAATTCCAGGTGAAGCCATATCCAGGAAAAGCCAGAAGAAGCTCAGAAAAACCCTCCAATAGAGCCGAAAAAAAAAACTACGGATAATGGCTTTTGGAGAAAGTTCCAAAGGAATCCAAATACGAACGGAATTTCTGGGAGATACATTTGGTACAAGATTAATTGAACTTCCTGGATAAAATGGAAGAAACTTCCTGGAGACGCTAGATGAAACTTCCTATGTTAGATTGCAAGAAACTTCTGGAGAAAATCGGAAGTCAGAAGGCTTACGGATCAGTCGAAAGAAATTTTAAGGAGAAGTTGGGGAAAAATTCCGGAAGAACGAGATTTCTTGAGGATGTTAGTACAATATTCTCTGAAGTTCGTTACATGTTCTAATGATCCTGAGTAATTTTCCTGATTTTTATAAAACATCCCTGAAGACCCAAAAATGACCCTGAAACTTCCTGGACATTCCTCACAATATTCTTGAAATCTGATCTTCTCGATTTTTATAATTTTTAAAAGTTCTCGAAACTTAACTTAATATGATCTTACAATTTTGAAATCTTCATTTTATTCTCCTACGTTTCCAAATTTGCATGAACCTCTAGGTACTTCGCTCAAGTTTTCATAAATTCCCCCGAGTTTCTCGGAACTACTTTAAAGTTTCAGCCATTTCCTTTAAATTAATTGATCTGTTCTTATGTTTTCAGAGCTTCCCTAAGTTCTCTGAATTCTCCCGGAAAACATTGAACAGTCCTGAAACCAACCACAATCAACTTTTTCATAATATTGGTCATGCGACACATCAAAAAACATCAAATTGATGATTAGGCCAGTGGCCAGTGACCTAATCCGGATATTCCGGGTACCGGTTAACTTTTTCTTAATAATGGTCATGCGACACATTAAAATACATCAAATGGATGGGTGTGACACGATTCTCCAAGCATTTGGCTAATATTATGCTTACTAGTGGCCAGTGACTTAATCCGAATGTTCCGGATACCGGTTCCGGTAGCCACAATCAACATTCTCATAAGAATGGTGATGCGACACATCAAAACACATAAAATGTGTGCATTTGAAACGATTCTTCGAATATTTTGCCAATATTCTGATTACTAGTGGCCAGTGACCAAAACCGGATGTTCCGGATACCGGATCCGGTAGCCACAATCAATATTCTCAAAAGAATGGTCATGGGACACATCAACACACATCAAATTGATGCATATGAAACGATTCTTCGAAAATTTTGACAATTTTATGGTTACTAATGGCCAGTGGCCAAATCCGGATGTTCCGGATCACGTTTCCGATTGCCGCAATCCACTTTTTCATATGGATTTACGACTCATTAAAATGCATCAAGTTGATGCGAATGAAGCAATTCTCCAAGTATTTGCCTAATAGTATGTTTACTA